TCTCATGTTTTTAAATGGCTGAATTTTACATATATATATATATATATATATACACACACACACACACTCCCCCTTTATCTACGTATCTGTTGATGATTGCTTAGGTTGATTTCATATCCTGGCTATTGTAATGAACATGGGCATGTAGATATCTTTATGACATACCGATTTCTTTTCTTTTCTTTGGATACATTCTTAGTAGTGTGATTACTGGATTGTATGACAACTACATTTTTTGAGGAATCTCTATAGGCTTTTTACAGTAGATACACTAATTTACATTCCCACTAACAGTGTAAAAGAGGTCCCCTTTCTCCATGTCCTTGCCAGCATTTTTTTCCTGTCTTTTTGATAATAGCCATTTTAACTGGAGTGAGATAACATCTCATTACTGTTTTGATTGACATTTCCCGATGGTTAGTAGCATTGAGAATTTTCTCATTTGCTTGTTGGCCATTTGCACATCTTATTTTTTATTGCCAGATGAGATGTGTGCTCACCAGTGAGAGACGAGAGTGGGAAAAAACACTCCCAGTGGGTCATGATCACACTGCAAACCTTATCAGGGTTTTGGGCATGTGTGCACATACACCCAGTGTGTTTTTCTAGCCTCTGAGACTGGGATTAGAACTGTGGAGGAACATGTGAGATTCAGCTCCCTTAACCACTATGCTCTGGAATTGGCCCATATATGTTTTCTTCTGAAGCATGTTTGATCAGATTATTTGTTTTTGGGTTTTTGTTTTTTTGAGATGAGCTATTGAGTTCCTTGTATATTCTGGTTATTATTACTTGTCAGATGTACAGTATGCAAATATTTTCTCCCATTTTGTAGGTCGTCTCTTCACTCCATTGATTGTTTCCTTTGTTGTGCAGAAACTTTGTACTTTGATATGATCTCATTTGTCTTTTGTTGCTTTCGATGCCTGTGTTTTTAAGGTCTTACTTAAAAAAAAAACTTTGTCTAGTATATTGTCCTGAAGTGTTTCCTCTATGTTTTCTTCTAGTAATTTTATAGTTTGGGATCTTATTTTTAAGTTTTTAGTTAATTTTTAGTTGATTTTTTGCATATAGTGAGAAAGAGGAGTCTAGATTCTTTATTTTCCTTATTTGTGTGTGTGTGTGTGTGTGTGTGTGTGTGTGTGTTGTGTCATCTCAAATTGGTTTCATTGACGTTTCATAGTTTCTCCTTCCTTGGTTAACTTTATTCCTAGGTATGCTATTACTAGTATTATAAATCATATTGCTTTCTTGGTGTATAAAAACATTACTAATTTTTATATGTTCATTTTGTGTTCTGTAATTTTATCGAATTTATCATTTCTGATAAATGTGTAGTTTTCAGGTTTTTCTCTATATAAAATCAGTCACCTGGAAACACAGTTTGACTTTCTCCTTTCTAATTTGGATGTCCTTTATTTCCTTTTCTTGTATGACTAGGAACTCTATTACTATGTTGAATAAGAATGGTGAAAGTAGGGATCAGCAGTTAGGGTAATGGCTATGTCGCTGGAATCCCATGTAGTCGACCGCGGTTTGTGTCCCAGACCCAGTGGCTTAAAACTGACGCCATGCACATGTGCATGCATGCCCAAGATCCTGAGAGGAGAATGGAGGAGAAGGGATTGTGGCATGGCCATCCCCCCTAGGGGGTGATTTCTCGCTTTTTGTCTCTCTGTCTCTATCTGTCTGGCATGCACAAGTGCCCTATGGCAAAAACCTCTCCAAAATAAAAGAATGGTGAAAGTGAGCAAACTACCTTGTCCCAATATTAGAGGAAAAGCTTTCCATTTTTTCCGATTTTTTTGTGATGTTAAGTGTGGACTTGTCATATGACTTTTACTGTGTTGAGGTATGTGCCTTCTACACCTGATCTGTTCAGGATTTCTCTCATAAAGAAATTCTGTATTGTATCAAATGCCTTTTTTGTATCTAATAAGATAATCATATAGTTTCTTTCTTATATTCTGCTGATATGGTGTATTATATTTGCCGATCTGCATATGCTGAACCATTCTCATATCCATAGAATAAATTCCACTTGATCACAGTGTGTATATACACGCACATTTTCTTTTAGTTTGCTATATGGCATGTGCGCTTGCCAGAGAGAGAGAGACAGAGAGAGAGAAAGAGAGAGAGAGAAATCACCCTCTGTGGGGATGGCCATGCTGCAATCCTTTCTCCTCCATTCTCTCTTGGGATTTTGTACACACATGCACATGTGCTGAGTCCAGGACTCAAACAGTGCAGCCAGCTATGTGAGATCCAAACACCTTAACTACCATGCCACTAGCTGGCCCAGTGTATAATTTTTCAAATGTGCTGCTGGATTCATTAAATAGTATTTTGTTGAGAACTTTTGCCCATATGTTCATCAGGGTTATTCATTTGTAATATTATCTTTTTGTTGGTTTTACTATCAGGGTAATTTTGGCCTCATAAAATGAGTTTCAGAGGATTCCTTTTTTAATTTTTTAGAATAGTTTGAAAAGAATTAGTATTAATTTTCCTTTAAAAGTTTTTTTTAGAATTCAGCAGTCAAGCCATCTGCTCTTCAGCTTTTCTTTGTTGGGAGGCTTTTTGTTACTGATTCAATCTCATTAGTGATGATTGGTCTGTTCAGGTTTTCTGGGTTTTTTTGTTTGTTTGTTTTCTTTTTCTGGTTCAGTCTTGGTAGGTTATACATGTAGATAAATCCCCCTATTTAGCCAGGTTTGCCCCTATCTAGTGATGTTTTCCAGCTTGTTGGCAGGTATCTGTTTATAATAGTCTCTAATTATCTTTTGTATGTCCACAGGATCTGTCGTAAAGTTTTTATTTTATTTATCCATTTCATTTATCTTTTAAAAAAAATCTCTTGTCATTTTGTTGATCTTTAGCATTATTTTCTTGGTCTCCATTTTGCTTATTTCTGCTCTTTTTTTATTGTTTTCTTCTCTGATTTTGGATTTTGTTTATTCTTGTTTTCTAGTTCTTCGAGATGTTTTGTTTAGTTTATTATTTTTTTAGGGTTATTATTTAAAATCTTTCTTTCTTTAAATGTAGAACTGCTTTTGTGAAATTCAGAAACTTCTGAACTGATCAGTCAAAGGAATGCCATGCGTGGCATTCTACCCTCACCCATCCAAGCCCAATCTCTAGTCTCCTTACTCAGCTGAACTACAATAAATATTTTTTGGTCTTGGCTCAGTGGTCTTCTACCCACTCCACTTCAAATAACTGGTGCTACAACCTTATTGCTTTTAAGTCCTTCACCCTGCTTCACTTTTCTTTATAGTATTTATAAGTATTTTTCTTCATAGTGTTTATAAGACATATGATGTACTTGCTTGTCTATTCTCTACGTTTCCCACTAGAGTATAAGTGGACATTTTGTCTTATTCACTGTACATCCTCAACGCTTAAAACTGAAGTTGGCACATAGTAGATTCCCAATGAATAAATTAATAAATATCAACACAAGGCAAGGTACTAGCAATCTGATGAAGTCATTGTGAGTAGAAACCATTCCT